TCACTTCATATTCACTGTAATAAAAAGCATAATCATGTCAATAATTATTTAATCCTTCTTCTGGATGATAACACAACTAAAATTGGGACGAACAGAATCCTATTATTTGTTTCTTGGTTTCCTGGTGAAACATAGGGCTTCACTAGCACATAGCCATTTCACTCTCTTCTCCACACTCTTCTCAACCTGGCTCCACCACTACACCCAAGCTTTCGTTTCTTCCTCACACCATCTCCTCCGTGTCACCCTCACACGCCCAACTTGTCGTTTCCCACATGTCTTCAACTAGAGGGTCTCGAATGGCACATGATGTCACAAAACCGTCTTCTCAGCCTATGTCCAATCCATCCTCACCTCCTTCCACACATTTGTTGGTCGATAGGTGCTTGGTTGGTTCGTTGGTTAGTTGACAGCTAGGCAACCAGTCAGTCAGTCAGTCAGTCAGTCAGTCAGCCAGCTAGAGTTCCCCTTGCTTATTCTCATTATTCTCACCTTCAGATCTCGTCTTCAGTATCGAGTGAGCGAACCAGCGTAGGTAGCAGCTGTCGATGGTGTATGTGTGCAGTCTTTTGGAAATACTTTTCCTGAGGCGTCAAGTCTCTCAACCATCACATAGAAGCACTCACTGACTTTAGTGTTGAAAGTGTGGATCTTGTTCCTTGTGTTGAGTGCAGTGCAGCAGATCTTCACACTGATTATTTCAGACCACAATGTAGGAAGGCCTATCTTGCTATCATTCCGATCCTGATAACGGCGTCCTCAGCTGTGCCTGTGCCGCCTGCATTTGAAACGATGTTGCCCAGATACGTAGGTCGGAGAACGAGACCACTTCCCTTAGGTTTCTCTCGTTCATGGTGTTTGATGATTGGTGTTTGTTGGTTGGGTATCTTCATCACCTCGGTCTTCTCTACGTTCACCTGAAGGAAGTGCCATCTTCGCTGCCCTGCCCTGCCCTGCCCTGTCCTGTTCTGTCCTGTCCTGTCCTGCCCTGTCCTGTCCTGTCCTGTCCTGTCCTGCCCTACCTCTTCTATCAACTTGTTGGTTTCCGCCTGTTCATCTTCAAGTTTGTGCGACGAGACATTAGACACAAATCATCATCGTTGATGAAATGCAAATCTTCTCCTCGGGTCTTTTCATCAGTCCAGCCAGCATATGTCCATCTTCTCACAGCTCCTCATACTTTCCTGCAAGATCCATTCCAGTCCAGTCGACCATACTCAGGAAGATGATCGGTGATAGTAGGTGGCAACTTTGTCTTACCTGTCAACCTGTCCTCATTTCAAAGGCATCACTGCATTTTCCATCGTGAACCATTTCGCATGTAGCATCCTCACATAGCTACGTGTTGAGTGAGGTTGATAAAGGTTTGTGTTACTCAAACGGTAATGTTGAGGCAGTTGCCAAATTACTTCTGGATCGCCGCTGTCGAAGACTTTAACGAAATGGATGAATTTGAGGTTCAGTTGAGTTGACTGGCATTATGTGCTTTGTTCTGTGAAGATGCTGAGCGTTGCATGTGTTAGTAGAACTACACACATAAAACGTGTTTGCAGAAGTGATACATGTATTTATATATATTTTTTTTTTCTGGGAAAGATACATTTAGGAGGAAACCAGTAATGAGATGAGTAGTTCTATCACTGATTGTCACATGCAATCTCTCTCTGCTTTATTGTATCGAATTGCACGAATATATATGCTCATCTGGTAAAAGAGGTCGAACAATTCTATTCAGTATATCAAAGAAGGATTACAAGTAACAAACAACAACTGGTATCCATTACACAACAAGTGGCTTTCTTGCTGCAGTGGTCTTATGGATGGCGCTTTGGCTTTTGAGGTGGTGGTAGCTTGGCTTCATTTCCAGTATGGTGCAGATAAATCTGGCTGACAAGTCCCCAGCCAGATGAAACACTCTTTAGGTTCCACTATCATCTACTAAACACACTATAACATAGTTCCACGACCTTTTTCTAAGGGTCTTAAGATAAATTGTAAGAACTACTGGCTGAACATACCTTCTTGTCATCTAAGCATCAATTCTTTTTAAAAATATATGACACTAGCTATACAAGAAAATGTTGTTTAGAACACTTTTCTCTGTTTTTTTCTGGAATGTTAACCTTTTCAACTAATTTTATTGTAAGATGCTTCGAAATTGTACAGTTGCTATAATTATAAGTATGGTTTTACAGTTTCTAAGAGCCCTTGACTCTCCTGAATCTCCAAGAAGAATAAATATTTCAGCAAAAAGTCTCTTTTCGGTGATCTCAAATTTATACATGTTTCTAGTATAAGGATTTGATATGTGCATACATCAATTCACTTGCTCTTTTGGAGCCAGGTATGTAGCTCGTTCGATGCGACTATTATCCAAAAGGGTTCAAGAACACTATCCCACCTGATGACAAAGAAGCATCAATGGAGCGATAAATAATGCTATAATTGAACAGATCATGAACATCAATCACTGCATCTTAAGAATCTCCTCGTTCATAGTCATCTATAAAGTGAAAAGAAACCTCCGTTCATATTCTTTGCATCGCCGGAGCTCTTGCCATCCAAATGGAGAATCGTGAACTGTGTTGCCAAAATAAGATTGTTGAATCCCTTCTCCCCTCATGGCTTTAGTTTTCAACCTCTTTTTAAATCTCCTCTATCCCCTTTCGTAATTTCCTATTTCTGTTTTGACACTATTCACAATTCAGTTTCTACCTGTGTCGTCATGTTACGAAACGTCTTATTGTATAAACTTATTTTGATTAGTGTTCCCTACTCATCGGTTGTTGGCTTTTTGATTTTAACGACAGTTCATATGATTGACACTATTTGTGTTGCCTGCCATGCCTGACAAACCGTTTTTAACTATCAAATCCTTATACCAGAAATATGTATAAATTGCGACTGTACACCTTTGAAAATGAAATAGCTGAAAAGAGACTCTTCGCTGAAATATACTTGTTCTTCTTTCATATGCTGATGGGTATATTTCACATATCTTCTGAATCTGTCAAGTTTACCTTGCTTCTTCAAAGATTTTCCATGTGTTCTAAAATGTTTAACAGTTCTTTTTCATCTCTACTAGGTTTATATTGGCTGAGTAACTCTTACTGATGAAATATGAATATGATTGTAAAGCCGTTGAAATAAAACATTTCTTCCTCAAAACCTTTGAAAACCAACACCTTTTTCCTGCTGAACGTTAACTGTCGATAAAAGACACCTTTTGTAGTACATTCATTAAGAGTTTATATCTTGTGGAATATGTTAATTTACTAGAAATAAGTTTAAAGACACTGTTTACACACAGTGATCAGATTTTTGATCAAATTTCCTACAAAATTACAGCACAATGTTATGCCAACAGGTGAAGTTTTTAATCCTCCTGTTGGGGTGATTTATAGCAGCTATTTTATTCTACATACAATGCTTGTTGGCACACGTCAGCTAGGCGTATCTGCAACCCCGATGGAACTGATGTCCCACCTGAGATGAGGTTCGAACTAGCATCACCCAGTGTTGTAGTTAGCCAGCGATGTTACCACTAAGCTATTCAGGTCGCAACTTACCTCCTGTCGGAATGGGTTGGATGCATTGATTATCTATTGGAAGCTAATGAGCTTTATGTTGTCAAATCGTATGTGCTAACCAAATCCTGTCAATCATTTTGCAATGTGGCCACCATACAAGGCAGCTAGCTCAGCATCACGATGAAGTTTGGTGGATGTTAGTTGGATGGGGGCAATCGGTGATGGGTGGTTGGAAGCCGCAGACTCACGTTCCGTGCTTGCTGGCACACTACAGCAAGATGTACCTGCAAGCCCTAAGAAACTGATGCTCCATCTGAAGTTTGAACTCGCGTCACGCAGTGTTGTAGTCATAAACGCTACAAATGAGCTATTCAGGCCTCGACTTATCTCCTCTAGGACTGAACCGGATACACTGAATCTAGATGTTTAACAGTTCTTCATCTTATGAGAATTAATTACAACGGTTCTGCTACGCTGTCAGTTAGAATTAAACTTGTATTCATTTTCGAAAACTATCTTCAATATAATTGCTAATCATGTTTCTGTAATGTATTAGGTACATACTAAATACAAATCTCTATAAATCCAGTGGAAAAAAATCTCTATCCTTAAACAGATGTAAATGATTCATTCATACACTAAGTAGATCTGGAGTAAACTTCACCCAATTTATATATGTGTAGGATAATTTGTTAAATTTAAATTACGTTATGTTAGAATCCAATGTGGTATCGATCGTGAAGTGAAAACTTGGGAGCATAGGACAACGGTTTCGTCCTTAGCACTGCACAACCATGACTCTGCTAGCAATCAAACTCAGCAGCATCAGGTTTCACGGTCAGCACGTTACCACTGAGCTAGTGAGTCGAAATTCAGTGATCAGCACTATTCTACTTCTGTTAATTCATGACATACTCCAATCGTTGAGTACCTGTTCTCGCCTCTGTACTAGGATGAAACAACTATTCATTGCTCCCAAGATTTCAGGAGTTCTCCAACTGTCATTAATTTATAGTGGGTACCACTTTGAAATTATTAAAATCTTCACAAACCTCTGAAGTGAATTACGTAAGAATTTAGAAATCATCCTGTTTTTTTTTATTAAATAGGAATTATTTAGACAAGTTATAAAGGTTCAGTAGACATCTAATTTAATATATTTTAAAAAACGCCTGATGATATACACTTCTTCTCATTACTGTTGAAAGACAAGGCGTTATCTTTTCGGTTGTACATACTACATTTAAAAATTGAACATTGAACGCGCGGCACATTTGAAACTGAAACAAACATCTGTAATAAAATTGAAAAGGGAATTAACCCTGTTTCATTTGGGAAACATAATAAATGATATTCGTTAACTTAATAATATGATAATAATTTTTCATATTCTTTTTATCTCAGTATTTACAGATTATCAGTGATAAGAAAAGGAAAATAAGATTTAATTAAAGTTTATTTAAACATTACCTGTAGTTGCTGTCAATTGACGAATATTATTTCCTAATTGTAAAAGTTTTTCTGTTGACATAATTAAACTTGATTTATTAAGAATTTTTTCATTCTTATCAATATTTTGCTCTTTACAGAACGTACTTTTAGTTGATAAAAATAAACTTGTTAATGTATTCTCCGTAAATTTCCATGTTATTTCTAAATATCTTCCAATAATTTGATGTCGTGTACTAACTTCTCTATGATCACTCCATTGAACAACCTTTTTTGAAGTTAATTTACTTTTATTTTCTTCAATGTGTTTATTACTACTATGATTTGTAGTACTAGTAGTATCAGATATATTGTCAGGATCTTGAATATAATGTTCTTGATTTAATTGGTCATCTAGTTTCATTTTATTGCAATCCGTGTAAAATGTTTGATTACTAATAGAAGAATATGGTGAAACAGGTGATCCAGTAGCTACATATCTATCTAAGGTATTGGAACGATGTAATGCATCTTGATAACGTGAAATATAACTTGAAAATAAATCTGTTTTACAAGAAATATCTCCTTTTTGTAATGTTTTTAATGATGTATCATTTAATTCAGTTTGATTAGAATGATTTGTTGATGGATTTCTAATCAAAATACCATGTTTTCCTTCAACACTTAATGCATGTGATAATGTTGGATAATGTTTTGAAATTGTAGACATCTTTAAACGTTGTTCCGCTTCAACTTGTCTTACTTGTGCTGTAGCAACTGCTGAAGTGCATACATATTGCAATTTTTGTACTTGATATAATAAATCAGTTGATTGAGAAAGAATATCTAAAAAACTTGATATGAATTCATATTCATCACGAAGATAATCTGAAGCCAGTAGACCATGATTATCTTGAATATATTTATGAAATTCTTGTTGTATTATATATTTTCTTGAAGAATTATCATTAGTAGTATTGTTATTGATATTAGTTAATTCAGTAAATAACTTTAAAAATTTATACAACTGTAAATAGGTTAGATGAGCAAGACGTAGAGAGCGTTGTTTTGCAAATAAAGAGAATAAACATCCAACAGTTATTGAAAATGTAACATCTCCTGGATCAATTATTAGATCATAGGTGACAATCTGAGAAAGTAATGTTTTACAATTATTAATACTATCATTCACATTACTATTAATATTGAATAAAATTGTATTGCAATACACGGGAGTATCATTATTAAACAAAAATCTATGTAAATGTACATTACGATATACTTGAAAAGTGTTATGCAAATATTCACGCAATATACTCAACTCTTCAATACCCCGTGTCATCTCCCATAATTCATCATGTGTAAAACGTGTCAATTCAATATAACTTAATAATGATACACCAGAATAGATTAAATGTTGAGCAGAATTAATAATGCCTAATGTTAATAATCTGCTATAAAATGAATTTAATTTAAAGGCATCTAAAAAAACTCTGGTCAGAAGAAGATTATAATTATTTGAGGTGTTCAGTTGATTTATACGATATTGTATAAATCGTTGTTCATTAGCTAAACGTTTCACTTGTGTCCAACATTGTCTTAGACTTTCACAAAGAATTCTTAACTCACCTAATTCAGATGAATGATCATAGTGTGTTGATGTTGTTCTTGACGTCATGTAAGCATCACTCTCATCATTATCATCATCCCCACTATCCTCATCAACATGTAACAATGTTGTCAGTACAAATTCATGATAATCACTTAATAGATTAGAAGAATTCTTTTCATATAGTGCTTGAAATGAATGAATATTGTTAGTTGAAATAGAGAATTTTCTTAGAATACAATCGAATAGATGTAGTTCTTTAATAATTGTATTCTCTGAATGAGCTAATAATGCAGTTAGCCCTAAACTTAACTCTTTAACCGTAGTGTTCAGTGTTTCAAAATGTACAACTTTGTAAACAGTCAAACAAAGACGATGTAATTGTGTTAGCTTATTCAAATTATTCACATTATTCGTTGAAGTAAGTGTTTGTACAAGTGACTGAGTAGGATTTGTAATGGTTGACGGGGAGCTGACACATTCTGTGGATGTTTCAGGTTGCTCATTTTCGTTTCTCTCCATTTCATTAGCTTTCAATCTCTATGAAAAGGGAAGAAAAACACAATTATATGGAACATACTTTAAACTAAATTATAACGGATTTCAAAAGTATCACTATCAGCTTCAATTATTATTATTATTGTTACTACCATTATTACTATTATTGTTTGTTTCTTGGCTTCCTAGTGAAACATAGGGCTTCACTAGCACATAGCCATTTCACTCTCTTCTCCACACTCTTCTCAACCTGGCTCCACCACTACACCCAAGCTTTCGTTTCTTCCTCACACCATCTCCTCCATGTCACCCTCACACGCCCAACTTGTCGTTTCCCACATGTCTTCAACTAGAGGGTCTCGAATGGCACATGATGTCACAAAACCGTCTTCTCAGCCTATGTCCAATCCATCCTCACCTCCTTCCACACATTTGTTGGTCGATAGGTGCTTGGTTGGTTCGTTGGTTAGTTGACAGCTAGGCAACCAGTCAGTCAGTCAGTCAGTCAGTCAGTCAGTCAGCCAGCTAGAGTTCCCCTTGCTTATTCTCATTATTCTCACCTTCAGATCTCGTCTTCAGTATCGAGTGAGCGAACCAGCGTAGGTAGCAGCTGTCGATGGTGTATGTGTGCAGTCTTTTGGAAATACTTTTCCTGAGGCGTCAAGTCTCTCAACCATCACATAGAAGCACTCACTGACTTTAGTGTTGAAAGTGTGGATCTTGTTCCTTGTGTTGAGTGCAGTGCAGCAGATCTTCACACTGATTATTTCAGACCACAATGTAGGAAGGCCTATCTTGCTATCATTCCGATCCTGATAACGGCGTCCTCAGCTGTGCCTGTGCCGCCTGCATTTGAAACGATGTTGCCCAGATACGTAGGTCGGAGAACGAGACCACTTCCCTTAGGTTTCTCTCGTTCATGGTGTTTGATGATTGGTGTTTGTTGGTTGGGTATCTTCATCACCTCGGTCTTCTCTACGTTCACCTGAAGGAAGTGCCATCTTCGCTGCCCTGCCCTGCCCTGCCCTGTCCTGTTCTGTCCTGTCCTGTCCTGCCCTGTCCTGTCCTGTCCTGTCCTGTCCTGCCCTACCTCTTCTATCAACTTGTTGGTTTCCGCCTGTTCATCTTCAAGTTTGTGCGACGAGACATTAGACACAAATCATCATCGTTGATGAAATGCAAATCTTCTCCTCGGGTCTTTTCATCAGTCCAGCCAGCATATGTCCATCTTCTCACAGCTCCTCATACTTTCCTGCAAGATCCATTCCAGTCCAGTCGACCATACTCAGGAAGATGATCGGTGATAGTAGGTGGCAACTTTGTCTTACCTGTCAACCTGTCCTCATTTCAAAGGCATCACTGCATTTTCCATCGTGAACCATTTCGCATGTAGCATCCTCACATAGCTACGTGTTGAGTGAGGTTGATAAAGGTTTGTGTTACTCAAACGGTAATGTTGAGGCAGTTGCCAAATTACTTCTGGATCGCCGCTGTCGAAGACTTTAACGAAATGGATGAATTTGAGGTTCAGTTGAGTTGACTGGCATTATGTGCTTTGTTCTGTGAAGATGCGTAGCGTTGTAGTTTGTTATGTTTCCCTGCGAATTTCTTAATAAACTTCGGAGGATAATTTCTAACCGTTACTGCTTCTTTTAAGTGTTTCACTTACTTGTTTACGTTTTTGCGCTAACTAGTCAGTTTTCTAACCCTATCATTTAGACATTTGAATAAACCTGCCTGCACTGAGTGACAGTGGATGAGATGACCTGAAGTCTAAGTGCCTGTTGTAATGTGTCGGTTTTCTGTAGACGGTAGTATGTAAACCACCGGCTGTCTTTCGTTTTATCCTGCAATCCAACATCGGTAATTCTCCTTTTTCAAGGAAAGGGAGATTGATTACTGAATCTTTGTTCATCGAACGGACAGTCACCCGACATATGTAAGAGAGGTGATGCAACACCTATATCACATATGTGGAAAATTCTACTACCAATAGAAACAAGGAATAAGAGATGACAGGACTATAAAAGCAAATGTCGAAACTAGTGTGATTACACTGATACGAATATGAGAAGTAATGATTTATGTTTGAACCGTCATCATCAAGTGAATAATACTGCATCACTGTGTGTTATCAATCAAATTTTTTAAAAACCAATGTAGAAGAAATTGTTTTTAGTAATCAAAACATTTAATCAGTTTGAAACAGTGCATCATTTGTAAACTCGTTTACGTAACTCATGGGATAGAAAAATATGAGATACCTGACTATTATATTCAGCAGTATATTCCTGAAATAATTAATCTATCTTATCACATTGTAACAGTCATAAAGAGAATAATGAGAAATACGTATGAAAAGACAATTCATAAAAGTAGACAAGAAAATTCAACTGCTCTTAGTTATAAATCATTATTACGCATTTCTGAATAAAGGACTTCATTTTAGGTGATATGAACAGTTAAGCTGTATGATTAATTTGTCTAATTGCATCATTGAGGAGCTACCTTAGCCCTGAATGAACGAAATGGTCATACGGTATTTAGATCACTCCGACCTGGATGAAAATATCTAAATATCACCCTGAGTGTTTTCTGATTACTCAAATTATTCAGCAGTGTATCTAATTACTTTATAATACTTTTGTATCAGAGATCATACCATGTGATCTTGTCTGCAGGGCAGTTCCATACGGAAATGCTGTTAATAACACAGTTGAAAAGTTGGAAAACTACTCAACCAGAAGAAATATTAACTTGAATTATACAGTTTGTTAACCATTTGTGAATCGATTGTGTTTCACTTCCCTGCCAAGTTCTACAAACTGATGAAATTCTAGTGGTATGATACGTCTGCGATTAGGTTTTCTGATCAAATTCTTCCTACATCAGAAAAGCACCTTCAAATTTACTGAAATTCACCTCCTATTAGAAATCGAAAAAGGATAAATTTGAGATATAGTAAAACATAACTGAAATAAGTGGCATTATCGAGTTTTTCATTAAGTATAAAGTGATCTATGAAATAAGCTTATAAAAGTCTGTGTGTGTGTGTGTGTGTATGTGTGTAAATGCGTTCGGAGATCCCAAACACTAGAAACCACTATTGTTGTAAGATACACGTGTCATTGTTAAACACACAAAAAGTGATGTGCGCACCTTAAAGCCCAACTACAATGAAAATTATCATTTTTATATTTACCACCAACTTGTAATCTATTAAATTAAAACAAAGTAAATTTTCATTACAACGTAATTAAATTTTTAATAGATCATCACAAAATTAAAAAGTCTTACTTGTTGTTTTATCATTTCATTTCGTAAAATAACAGCTTTGTTAAAATTCGGCAATATTTTAATCGATTTACATAAAGATAAAGTGAGTGTAATTATTTCTTCAAGAGTTGATGTACATAATCGTAAACTTTGTTCAATACAATCAGATTGTTGTAAATCTAATGAACTTTGTACAGGTGTAAGTGGTGGGTCTTCATCTTCTTCAACTGTACAAGCTCTTCCGATAGCAGCTAATGATGCATGCATTTACAATAACATTGATAGAAATAACCAAAAAATGATACACGACCTGAAAAGAAGAATAAGAGTTCTTGTTCATTTTATTATTATTATTATTATTATTATTAAATAAAATGGATTGATAGTATGAATAATTTAGTTGTTTTTCTCAATTAATTATCAAATGAACTCTACAATAAAATTAACAAATGACAGTTCAATAACATTTTGCGCTAAGGGAATAATAGTTTCAGTCTGAAAAAGCAAGGAAGTGACAAATTTGTCTCAGGATATTATTCTGTTCTCGTTCAATACAAATAATGATAATGTTATATATAAAGAAGACCAAGGTTAATCAATGAAGAAATGGAATTCTTTTTGTAGATCTGTATTGAAATGTTGATATTGAAATTGAGATCAGATGGCCAGAATAATAAGAATAAGCAAGAAGGAACTCTGGAAAGGAACCAACGAATCAACAACCTATCACCCAACAAATATGCAGAAGGAGGTGAGGATGGATTGGATTGGGGATACACTTAGAAGGCCGACTGGCAGCATCATAGGCCAGACCGTCGAGTGTAATCCATAGAAGAAACAGCGAGTTGGTCGTCCCAGCTGAGGCTTACATGGAGGAGATCATGTGAGGGAGGAACGAAAGCTTGTGGGCAGTCGTGGTGCTAGGTCCAAAAGACTAGAGAGAAGAGAGTGCAGTGGAGGCGTGCTAGTGAAGTGCTATGTTCCGCTAGGAACCCGAAGGAAAAATAAATAGTAACAGTAATAATCAAATACATTAAAGCAAAACTTATAAGCCAACAGTTTTTTTCAATTTATTTTGGGGATTTATAGGGATTTATTGATTTTTCAAGCTGGTATTCATCATGGACTTACATCAGTTGAGGGAACATTGGAAACCTGAGGGTACCGGACAGCTGATTCATTTTAGTACGGTACTCTTCAGCAATTCGCACCCGTGACCTCGCTCTCGACCGAATCGAGGACCTTCAGGATCCGTGGCCAGAAAGTTACCATTGAGCCACTGGGTTGAAATCCAGTAGTCTATATTTCCAACTTCTGTCAGTTCACGACATAGCGCAACCATTAAACAATGTCATATCAGTACATGAGGAATATCAACTCGAAAATTCACCAAATCCCCACAAACCCCCAAATTAAATTTATGTAGTGCTCATTGGTGACTAACTTCGACAGATGGTTCCTGAAGTTCTACTGAGAGGTCATGACAGGCGGGGCAAACCTGGTGAATGTCAGGATAAATACTCAACGATGTCATTGTGTGAACTAACTGAAGTAGGAATTATGGACCATTGGATTTTGAGTCGGTGCCTCAATGGTTCTGTGCTGGCAGCGGAACCTGAAGCTCCATGGTTTGACCCCCAGCGAGGTCATGGGTGAGAACTGCTAGGACGAAACAGCTGTCCGATGCCCGTAAGTTTCAAATGCTCCTCCATTTAGTGTCAGCTCATGATCGATTCCAACCTGAGATAATAATAAACGTTGACATTCATATAACAGTGTTGACTTAAGCAGTTGTGATATAGCTGATAAGAACCAAGAAAACAGTATGACAATGTAAGCGCTCCGCTAGCCAAAGTTGGTCAAAAGCTGGAGAGAATGAAACTTCCGTAATAATGAAGTAAGGAGTAAGTGGACGAATCAGAGTCTAAATAAATATAGCAAGTATATATGAAACGGGTGAAGAGTTAGAAAAGTATAGAAAATTTTCAATGACGAAGCTGTTTAGTAAGTACTAATTGGTCAGGGAAGAGATAAGGGATGTACAATCTTCTTCTGCATACAAAGACTAGGATTCGTGGTTCGAATCCCCACAGCTTCTATTACGTGTAAAAGACCAGTTCGAATACCTTTCTAACGACAAGTTGGTCTGCTATAGCTAACCTTGAAAGGATTGTCCTTATCTATCAAGTGGCCACTAGCAACCAGATGAGGTAAAATAGAGCTTCTTACAGATTTTATCTTTCCCTTCTTAAACAATGAAGGCAGATGCTGGGCAACACTTGTCCAGTTGTATGCCTGATATAGTTTTGAAATAGGGTGACGACTGAAGGTGAAACGGAAATCGAGATCGCGGCCGGATTCAAACCAGCGACCACCGGGTTTCCGGCTCAATGCTGTATCAACTGAGCTACGATGTCCAACTACTGGCCAGATTTTTATTTCACTTCAATCACCAAGGGTTTTATCCGACTACCATGTGAATTCTTGATGCATTCCTATCGGTTGATAGTACTCACACTGACTTCCCAGTCAGGACTTCTCATCCCAATTCAAATCTAACCAGTAGAGACGGGGAGAGTCATACTGATTATCATTTCCACTATCTGATCTGGAATAGAAATTTGGGCCCGCGATCACTATGTTTTTAGTTCAGTGCTCTACCACACAAATAGCTAAACTTGTAAATATACATTGAAATAGTAAAACTTGGCAGTTTATCTTTCGTCTGAGCAACAAAAGTCAATCGGCAGGAAGATGATGAATAGAATTCCGCAACTTAGAAAGTCCTCTTAATGGCTCAAACAAACCTCTCATTGGCTGACAAGTCTGTATGACTGGTTCAACTTTCTTTTACATATTCAAATATTCGCATTCAAATAAAGTCAGAAAAGAATCTAAATGAAAACAATATTATTCACCTAAATGTCTTGTTCTCACTTTGAAACTGTTGACATTCAAACAACAACCATCAATAAATAGTAATAACTACTATGCGTTGTACAAGGTGGTTATAATGCCTCCGTGGCATAGAGGGTTAATGCCTTGATATTTGAAGTGATGGATACCAGGTCCCAGTCTCAGTGGGGACAGAATCAATCTGTCTTAAGGTGCAGCTGACGAGTCCCACATAGGACGAGACGCTCTTTCTGGATTCCTCTGCTAACCACAATCAGGTGAGTTTTCAAATAACGACACCTAAGATTTGTATGAACTTGAAAAATGAACTCAACACAACATCTTTCTATCCTAAAGTTGATGATCAAAATTTTCCTAAACTACTTTAAGATATTAATAGTGTAAAAAGCCCAAATCTAAGGAAGAAATAGTTATTATCACTAAAGTAATTAGCAGTGTTTCTATGCTGAAAAGTAGCTTTTTAACAGTACAATCTTCAAAAAGAACCCACAAGATGATTATGGCCAATTTTATATGAAAATGATAATTGTTTTAAATACATGACATTTGGATGGGAATAAGAGATCACGTAAATTAGGATAACAGATAAGAAATTAGAATAGTTATGCACGATGAAATTATAAAAGTTGAAAAGGACTGTTATTGTGCCACTAGTCAGCAGTAGATAAGTGAATAACTATGCCCTGTATTTAGTTAGCGACAATAGTCATGCAAAATACTAAGTAATAGAGAAGAGAAGCAGGAGATGAGAAGAGAAGAAAAATAGAGTTCAGTTTATATCCGTTTTGAATACGAAAGCAAGTTATGTGGCTGACTAAGGTGAACAGAAGGTTTGATCAAACGTCTTAACAAACCGATTTTGTTATTTCAGATACAACATGTATAAAACTGAAGAGAGTCCGATAAAAATAACTTCGGATGACTGATTTACATCGATTTGGTGTCTAGTACCTCTTAGATGTCCACGTCTGAAAGTGCTTAGTGACCTCAGTGATCGATAATGGCTGGTAGTGATATCCAGCATACGCGTTTCTTCTTATTTGGGACCTGTCACCTGAATGTACCTCCCTCCTAGTAAGTCATGTTGTCCCCAGTTGAATTCGAACTACGGCTAAAATAAGTAGGTTAGATTGAATTGACTAAATATTAACTAAATAAACTTCTAGCTTAACTCTAGATGCTTAAGATGTTTTACGTTTCGTTTTAACAAACATGGATCCGAGTAGACTTCGATGCCATTTCGCGCTCCCTTTGTGCTGGTTAACGAGCATATCCTGAAATTTCCTAGTTCAGCTACGCTGACTAGCCAGATAAGTTGGGTAAGCTTCTCCACTTTATAATCACTGTCACATTTATTCGATTTAAATATATTTCTCTTTCGGATATATTCTTGAAAACCAGTTCTTTTGATTGATGTTTCCTTATCAGCACTTACACGTTAGGTAAGGTGCTGATTACGCAGTTACTAGAGCACATAGAGTTAAAAAGGGTTGGCCAAGCGTCACATAATAGTAATAAATTATGTACCCCCACATTTCGAACAGCTGAATTCGCTACTGAACGCTTAATATGTAGTCGGAATGAGTAGTCAAACTGTGAATTAATCTACTTAAGAAATATCCATATATTAACAGCCTCTGCAATATTCCTCTAAATTATTCAGACAATTCTCATAAAAGTACATTTAAAATGTTGAAAATGTGAGGATAAGGAAAAAATTCCTGCTTTATTATTAAACTCCTAAGTAAATCAATAAACATTCACTCAGAAAGTGCACATGAACTACAGTCTTTCATTGATGTTTCTAATGGATTAAAATTGGGTAGAATGAAATGCGAATCCTTATTATTTATTCTTATATACACATGTATATGTGTCGTTTACACTGATTTACGGTCTACGTTTTCTTTCTGACCCCAGCAAAACAATAGAAGGAACAATATTTAAATGACAGGCTATTAGTAAGATCTTCGTCCTGTTACTACTAATATAGCCTGAGAGCACGTTTTCGTTACTTTCTTCAGATAGTGAGTGTTCAGAAAGTGAAACGTAATGATCCATTTCAACTCAAGTTTCTGTCTTCAACTTTAGGTACCTCTGAGGTATCAGGTCATTTTTGTAGTTAATATACACGCCACTAGCGATAGTTTCAGTATTATCGACTAGTCATAAGAATGTCTTGACACAAAACTTGGTTACTGTATTAAACATTTGCACAGTTGATAGTTGGAACTAGAAGAAAAGTAGGCTGATGAAAGTATTGAAACCAGATCAAAGTAAGAAAAAGCCAACTGTGATAGAAGAGTGAGTCAAATACTTTTGAGTTACAAGTCCCCTAAACTCACTTACTAACTGGCATCCTATCATCAGAAATGCTTTAACATTGCTATTATCTGGCCTTAAGAAATTATCCTTATGAGTTGATCCGTGATTGACGGATGTTTGGTTTCCATAGAAACAGAAATCAGAATAAAACACCATTTCATTTTCAAGCAATCGGTTTACTAGTTGATGGACGTAAAAAACAGTCAAGTATGGATGAAAACTGGTTACTGCGTAAATTTCAGGCGCATAAATCCATCTCTGTACCTTGTGACTACCATTGACTACTAGTTTCTTTTGACTATTCAAAGGTCACTTTCTACTATTCATCTACTACTCTGTGCACTCTAGTCGACTTTACCACTCAAAAGACATAGGGACAAAACGCTTTACAGCATCCTTATCATACTCTTAAATGCTTAATGAATTGAGATCAAGATTTCCTACTTCACAGGGAAAGCTTAACTTCCTTGTCTAACAGTAATGTACATACTGTACTTTGGGATTTGGACAGAATTTCTGCAAGAGGGATAGAACCTAGGTAATTCTGTTATGCTTCTCCTACTATTGTTTATGAATTCCACTGGATATATTAATCCAGCTATTATCACAACAGATTAAGTTAATTATCCTCCTAAAACGTTGCACACAAAGCAGATCAGACAGTAAAACTGTTTCTTAATCATATCGTATTTCACTCTAGTCTGAAGAAAGTGGAATTTAACAGTCCTAACTGTATTTCAGAATTGTTTGATGAATTTCATTTCAATCAAAACCTGACATCAACTACTTCTATCTATCTTCCTGAAGTAGTGGCAAGCACAGCGAATGACACTTTTCTTAACTACTTTTGGGTTAAGCACGTTCAGTCTACTTCTTCCGAAAGCTAAATATATTGAAAAGGCGACTGTACAAAAAAGTCAACATTGTTTTGGCATAGGCAAGGTTAAACTGGTCATGATGGGCTAATGAAAACCGCTCTACTTGTCTTTCATCTATCATGGAAACAGTCTAATAAAATTAGTCTTCCGCGAGAGCGGTGAGAAAAAACAGTTTTACCTAAAACGTTAACTATGGAAGCAAATCAGGCTTCAAAAAACCAACTGATTTCAGTTATATTTTTACACGTCCATCTGTGTAAACCTAGTTAGCACAATGGCTGACAAATCACCATTAGTGTCTTTTATTAGACAAACAACAAGCTGTAGCGTCATACACTTCCCCAAAATCAATAGCCTAGGGTTTGACGACTTTCGACATTGATGCTGACCTTGATAGTTTGACTGGACTCGCTAAGCTGAAGGCACCCGGTCAAGCATCCTGGCCATTTGGCACGCTATCGTGTTACGTTGCATTGCTCGTATTCGACTCTCTAGCCAGTTAGTTGGAACGCATCGGTATTTTGGCATAACCATCCAAATATACTATTCCATCCGACTACGCTGTCGTGTTCTTCCTTGGTCTCGTACTCACGGGGATATAACGAGTCCGAATAATTAATGATTGGTCTTTGCGTCTGTCAAGTTCGCACCAGGACAAATCCTAAAAAGCTAACCTCAATCACTTACAGAGTGGCTCCATGCGTGGTTTCTGTGTTATATATCATTAATAAATGCCAGTCTATAAGTTAAACTAGTAAACAAGTTACAAGGAACGCATTTCAGCTCCTAATGTCGCTTACCAAACGACTTTTGAAACAGAAGATGGAATCGTTTGCGACTTTCTAGAAAATTAGAAATAAAATCTGTCAATTAGCTGGTGATGAAAATGAAAATTTTGTGACAGACCTAAGACAAATTTAAATATTCATTTTACATTACACCAACTGGATTGGCCTGTAGGGCAGTAATTATCAAACTGCATTGAGCATATGTGCATAGGTATACTAATTAACTTCATTACAGCTAAGTGTGTAACTGTTGATGTTCCAGTAAGGTGAGCTGTGTTATATAGCTTGGTCATATTTATCAATAAAATTAATCTTATTTCTAGTTCGCGGTTCTTTCACACATTAGGCACTATACAGGAAATATTTCGAAACCAGAACGTTTCAAAAAGCAGCCGTAAGTAGCTTAAGAATTGGCTTCAAAAGTGATTCAGGAACTTCAAGTCAATCCAAAAACATTCAGTGAAAAAGAATTCGGCGAATAAATTATCAGCTGATTTATTTGTGCCTAACAATATTTCCGTGTTAATGGGTGGTTTACCTCCTTGAGAGAAACGACCACCAGGGTACAAAACTGTGGTAAGGAATAATGCGCTTTTGATAAATACAAACATACACAACCCGAGACTCGAGATGAAACAATAACAAACAAAGGAAATAAAAAATAATCAAACTTTGGCTGAAGAAGTAAAAAAGCTTCCCTGAAACTAAGACAACTCAATTCAAATGAAGACAAAAATTTCATCCAAATGCCGTTTCATGACACTAAAGTGAAGGCATCTTCAATGTAGTGGTAAGCTTCCATAAGACAAAATCACAATTCACTCATTTCCACTCTTCTCGGTTTTCTCACTTCCCCCTAACAGCGTAAAAACTCGACACCAACTTTATCTCTAATAAAGCGTCAATTTTCCGAATGCAGAAAATTAACGGCTTCTGGGCCATTGTTTCTAGATTTTGAAATTCCATTCACTCTGTTTAACTATACTCTTTGTTTATGCGGTAATCGTTCTCGCTGCTTCACGCATATATTTGAAGGATTTACCTCTCCACTTGAACATCTTCTGGCCTGAAATCTTGTCAAAAGTATAAATCACTAATTAATTTAAAACAATAGTAGCCCTAGTTAAACTTTTACTGATTTCCTATCTTCAATAGCTTCGAGTCTAGCACTAGCTTCTGTATATGCTCAGTTTACTGGCAAAATACTGATAATCTGAGTCAGCATGCACTAGAAATTATACCGACTGAAGTATTACGTGACATTTATTACTCCTTAGACGTTTGTTCAGTATGCTCGATTTAAAAACGGAAACCCTGAAAGCAACAACGAGTAACTGTTCTGCGACATATTCAGCGAATAAACTCGCATTGAAAGAACAGAAAGCTTTTGGAAAACTGAGTTAAGTGTAGCAACCAACCTTCTTCCTTCCTATCTTGAAAACCGTTAGCTAACAGTTACAAAAAGACATTCAGAAGACTTTTGAATTGACGGGGATTAGCGTACTCATTAAGTGATGCGAACAAAGAACCTTGCTATTTGGATCTGACTAACTTCAGTCAGTTGAAATTTTACGTCCTTTTTTGTTGCAGCAGAATAATACCACACAAGATAAAAAAAGATAGAATCCTCCAAAACAACTAGTATTTTTTTCACATGAATAGTGGGAGTACAGCTACCTTAAGCTGTTTCAGCATTCTAGTCTTGCTGCTTGTTCTTCAGTATTGTTCTTTTATTTACCAGGGAAACGCTATCCACGCTTCAGCTTGTAGCTTTCCTAAGGAATGCGTTTTGTGTAGGCATTTATTAGCAAATCGTAGATTGGGTTTAGAAGTAAGGAAAGGTGTTAGGAAGGTTGGAGATCTTGTGACCATGGTTGACATATGCAAGGTGAAGTGGAACGCCTGAATAAGGGCGGAGAAAGTTTATTAGCTGTCGCCGAAACTAATGAAAACAGCCAAGATTTGCATAGTTGTGTGAGAGAAGCTATGAGGCGAAATGGGAATGCCATAAAACACAGGCAGTGAGTGATAAATAAAAGGAAGGTATTGGTGAACTTAGGCCTTGGCAAGTAGGCGGATGGATGGTTGTTAAGGTCAGTTTCACCATGTGTACACTGATAGGAATCCATATGAGCTGACGCAGTTTCTCGACCTTATTCAGTGGTATCCTGCTGAGCGTGTTGCAACTATGTCCCACTGTGCAGCTTTGCGTGGTTCTGACCTGAGCCTCGTGTTAGTTCTTCAGATTCACTTTCAAAGCTTGAGAATGGGTGGCTACTGGCCTGTATGGATCGCTTTTAGGCATGTCCTTATGCTTGTCTAATCTTTTCTGGGATTGGACACTTCCTGGACTCAGTTCGAAGAACTTAATACATGATTTGAAAACCCCCGCTCCGCGGAGATGATGCTCGTCTTTCACTCCAACGCTCTCTTTTTTGCCCTTCAATATTCTTGACTCGTCGGGAAAGGGTATAGAAAGTCGGTCAGGCTTGAAATCGTCGTTCATAGTCCTGCGTATCTTGATTCGGTCTTCTCTGTCTACGGTGCGATAAACGGAGGGGTTTCAGCTCTCGACGTTGTTCTTCATAGGTCAAGTTAGCAACTGTGGTGATCGTGTGAGTCACCGCCCTCTGAACTTTCTCAAAGGGGTCCGAATCACACTGCACATAAAGATTTATTGTGTGCGCTTAGTTTTTTTATTTTAGGTCTTGCTTGGGATGTGCACGAACGGTAAACGTATCATCACCTTACTATCTGAAGACTTTCCATGGTGTCCACATCGCTTCACTTTTATGCTTTAAGCAATAAAATATCCTCTCCCAGTCTTTTTCTACAGCCCAGGATGAAAGCGCTTCGCAGCAAATTAGGGATTGGTGGATAGCTAGGGGAGAGGTAAATCCTTCAAATATATGCGTGAAGCAGCGAGAACGATTACCGCATAAACAAAGAGTATAGTTAAACAGAGTGAATGGAATTTCAAAATCTAGAAACAATGGCCCAGAAGCCGTTAATTTTCTGCATTCGGAAAATTGACGCTTTATTAGAGATAAAGTTGGTGTCGAGTTTTTACGCTGTTAGGGGGAAGTGAGAAAACCGAGAAGAGTGGAAATGAGTGAATTGTGATTTTGTCTTATGGAAGCTTACCACTACATTGAAGATGCCTCCACTTTGTTGTTATGTAACGGCGTTTAGTTCGGAGTTTGGTCCTCGTATTAGCTTGAGTGCCATACTTTTTGCACCTGATCTTCTTTTATGAGCAATTTTTCAGTACTCTTTTCGCCGCCTCTGTGGTTGACTTGTTATTTTTGCGTTGGCGTGCTAGTTTCCTGTCTCAGTTCTCTTGTGATATTCGCTGCCGTATTTTCACTTTGTGGGTGCATTATTTATTTATGGTATGAACTCATGTTTAATCGCGTGTATTCCGTGATGTACTTCGTTGCTAACATCCAATGCATTAAATTCTTTGGAATTTTTAAGATGGGCAGTTGGATTTCACCAGCTTTATGTATATATATGCTGCGTCACTCCCCATATTTCTTCTTATTTTGAAGAGGTAGACTGATTACAGATAATGTACAACCTCAGCTGCCTGTATTTTGATTCGCATGGGGAATGAGTTTGTGGGTGGATCTGAATTTCACTGCCCTACGGCGTATTTAATGTACGTATGCTGCAGGTAATCAGTATCGTATCTTTACTAAACATCCTAACTTAGTGAACCATGTGTAGGTTATCTTGTGAGCCTGATGTGAGTCGCTCATTCACTTTTTGCCAAAGATTAGCTGACAGTTCTTCTGGACGTGGGGTATTTGTACTACATTAAACTGAAAGGGCTGACATATGGGGATCAAGAAGCCCGCTTTGTTAGTGATTATACCAAATCACAATGATTTTCTTGATGGCACAGTCTACAGAATCCCACCCTACCTGGAAATGTAGAAGAACGCGCATGGAGTTTTTGAGTGCAACCGCGCCAAAACTCTCCTTTATGGTTTTGAAGGAAAATAGTCGCAGTTATGTCCCCTTATTGCATGCACAGAAGCTAAGTAAGGAGAAAGTTTTCTAGTGTTCTGAGCAAGGTTTTAAGGGCCTACCGGATTTGCACGTGACATGGCTACTGCCTCCAAAATACGGGTTACACCTCATTTGTTCAAAGTACCGGTAGTACTATCTGCAACACCAGAGATAACAGTTGGGAATTGATACTGCAAGCTACGTAGTCTTGCGCCTATGTAAGATCCGTCTCACATTCCACTATACACATGTTCTATATGACATAAAAGCCTAGGGGAATATGGCTTTGGCTAATACTGAAATAATCCCTGCAAACGCACCCTACGACTGTTCACGTTAATGTCATCACGCGATTTTCACAATCGTAACTGCTTAGGTTACTCCAGAATGCAGGCCACATTGATTTTGTAAAGGTTATACCATAGAACTGGGATTCCGCTTTTTAGGGACTCACGATGCACATGAACTCTAAATGTCTGCCCATGTGACAAACAATATCATGCGTATATTTTGTGTAAACAAAGAGCCTGATGGTAAATTGAGCTTGCACTGAGGAAAGGGAAACTCTGTGCATATGTGACCAGTGCAAATCCGGCACTCCCCACTGACAAAGTGCTTGCGAATGCCGCCGACTTTATAATCTTCTTATTCGTACGTTGTTGCAGGAAAAGACTCCTACGAAGGGGTTGCAGAGGTGGAATGTCAAACGGATGAGCGATGGATATCTGTTCGCAGAATGCTCCGGACACTGAATGATTTTTGTGGAAACACACATTTTCACACGACCAAAAATGCGTTTCCTCCTGCCAATGTTTATGGAGTAGTAGTAGTAGTGTCATGCCCCCCCCCGTTAGGTAAACATATTTTGAGAGATTTTTGTGAACGAGTGGCCCGTTTTGATGATCTGGTTATATCCAAAATCGTTGGAATATTTGGAAAAACTAAGCTTGTAGGCTCCCTCCCGTGGAGTGCGGGATAACCGACACAAAAGCGACAATCCGTCGCCGTACAGTCAGTGGGGTTTGTACAATCATGCACACATGAATGACAGTCGGCTTGCACATAGAACGATGGTTTATTTAAGCACGGGGAGCAGCGTCTGTCTCTTCCAAACAAAATACGTATGTCGAGAAAGCAAGCGAGAAGAGTTAAAGCGTATATTATGGAGCATAACAGCCTCATAACTTACATGATGAAACAGCCGTGTGTAGGAGGACTCGATTTACCTGTAAGAGGAAAGCCTGGACTTGTTAGATGTTGCGTAAAAAATATTCTTGAAATTAAGTTTTAAAGAGGAGCAAAGACTTGTATGTTTTACTTTTTGTTATCCATCGCTTGTGCATTCGCGTCGACGCATTCAACACATCTAGGCACCCAAGTGTAAGTATTAAAGGAAAACGAAAGCGATTTACCCATCAGAAATGATTTTCATTTGTCCTGAACGCGTTGACATGCAAAAATCCTGAAATGTAAGAGCTGCAAAGATAAAGGGATGAGGAGGACGAGTAACCTATGGTTCAACTTTGTGCAGCTCTCTGCCAGTTGGGTTCAGGTCCTCACCTGCAAAACTCCGGGATTTGCAAGCGAGCTATAAGCAAGTGTTGACATATAACCTGGCATATCTTTTAGGGCTTACATGAACTTAGTGTACTTTCGGTCCAGGATTTCTGTGACTGTCAGGTTACTTGTTTTCCATATGTGCTGCCACCAGCTTTTTCAAGTCCATAACCACCCTCCTCGCTGCATAAGGACTAAGTTTATCTGGAATAGGTAAAAGTCTTTGGGTCTAGCATATGTTTGGTTACCAGCTTAGGTAAGTACGGTCTTTAATCTCCCCTCCTCTCTCTCCCAAGGGTCCAACAGGGGTACCTTCCAATTAAACTCATGCAGTCCACCTCGTCTTCTGAGCCTCCTTTTCATTTGCTCATGTAGTCTTTCAACTGTACCGTTCGCATTATTGCCCAAGGTCGGAATTTCATAGCAGAGGGCAGGAGACCGTCGTCCCTTTCGGTTCGTCCATGTGCGTCTTAGATATTTTTCTGTATCCTTGCTGGTAGCGTTAATTTTGCAGTTGCATGCATAACCAACGTGCATTGGAAGCTGTTATACGACTCTTGCCTTATTCGCAGGACGACCACTGTCGAACCGATCTTCAAAGATATTGCTTTGGAGTTGAATTCTGTGTCTAAAAGTGTAGCGAGCACAGTCACACACTTGAAATGCTCACCATTTTGCACGCCTTTGTGTACACATAGACAGCACGCAGCACTATGACTGTACGCAAAAACAACCCTCACAGCCCCCTTCAACCCCCTCTTACAATATTCAATAAATGTTTGCGTGGCGCCCATCTCGTCCGTTATCCGCGTCCTCTGGTTGCTGGCTTCTAGTCCATCAAAACATTATCGGGTGACTATTGATAATGTCTGTAACAACGAAGTGAAACAGTTTATAACTGCGTTTGCAATTCTATCTGTGACGACAAAC